GGCGGGGCAGCAGGTGTACGTGTATTCCGAGGGCAGAGGGGCATTCCTGCGGGCATCACCCAGGCCCTCCGGGTTCTATTAATGAAGAGGCTAGCGGGAGGATATGTGGAGGGCCAGACTTAAGGCCGTGACTCACAGCCCGTGCTGTCAGCTGCGCTGCCAGGGACAACAGGGCAACAGGAGGCATTGGGTTAAGACGATGGGGAACTGGGGACACAATGCAATGGGCAGGGCCACCCAGGGTCCAATCGGGGTTGGGAGCCCCATGCCCCTGGAGAGACACGGGGGTGAGTGGAAAACTGGGTCGTGATGATGGGCCAACGTGGGTCGGAGAGGTGTTGGGGTGCTGCAGCGTGGGGGCGGCCGCACCCCTTAGCCGGGACAGCAAGGGGAGGGCCTGCCCGTCCGGGCCTCTGACGCCGCTCCCCGCTCTCTTGCAGACTGTGCGTGTCCAGGGCAATGACATCTCCCACCGGCTGCGGCTGTCCGCCGTGCGGCGGCAGGACGAGGGGGTGTACGAGTGCCGCGTGTCCGACTACAGCGACGACGACACGCAGGAGCACAAGGCCCAGGCGCTGCTGCGCGTCCTGTCGCGCTTCGCGCCGCCCAACATGCAGGCGGCGGAGGCCGTGTCCCACATCCAGAGCAGCGGCCCGCGGCGTCAGGGCGCTGCCGGCGCCGCCAACGCCAACCACGCGGGTGCCCCCGGCGCCGCAGGCCGCGCCCCCTCGGAGCCCGGCCGCCGCGACCAGAGCCCCCCTCCCGGGAGCCCGCCCGCAGCCCCAAGTCCCGGAGCCCCCGAGGCCGCCGCCGCCTCTGCGGCCCACACAGCCGCCACCACCGTCGCGGCTGCGGCCGCTGCTTCATCAGCGTCGCCGCCTCCCCGCCAGGCGGTTCTGCGACAGAGACATGGCTCCGGTAAGGGCGGGCGCCGGGAGGGGGCGCGCTGCGCGGGGCTGCGGGAAGACGCGGGCTGGCGGCGGGCTCGCGTCGTGTGCCTGCGCGCGTGTGAACGCGCGTGCCTGTGGTCATCGGTAGCGGGTAACGGGTCACCCCAGGGCTCGCGTTCTGCAGCCTCCCTTGGGCTCTCTTCCCGCTGTTTTCCTCTTGGCCGCTGGGAGCGTTTGCCACGCGTATTTGTGAATGTGGGGGCTGAGGTGTGGGGAGCCTTCCGGACACCTCGGGCCCAGTGTGTGTCTGCATTCTGCCTGACTCCATTGAACAGGCTGTCCAAGCGGGAATGGGTGGGCCCGGCTGTGGAGCCTTCGCTCTCTTTGACAAGGTCCAGGATGGTCCTAGCCACAGGCTGTGCTAGAAACCATCACTCCAGCCCGCTTTGGGCCCTCATGGTGGGGTGAACGATAAGGATGGGGCGCTACCACTGTGAGAGGCTGAGGCCTGCTCTCTCTCTGTGGAGGCTCAGCGGGGCAGGCAAGGGGGGACTCAGAGAGCAGAAGGTCTGGAAAAGTGACGGGAGGGCTGGCAGTTCTGGGGAGAAGGGGCCGCTTAGCAGTTGTGAGGGTCCTGGGGGATGGACACACTACTGCCCAGTGTGTCCCCCCTCCCAGGCCACCCCCACTCCCTCCACCCACTCACAAATGAGCCTCAGGTGTGCTCAGCTCTAGTGCTCACTCCCATGTCTGATTTTAGGCAAGCCATCCCCTCTGAACTCCACCCCTCACTCTGGTTTGATGACAGTCCCCCAGGGAGCACCTTGCAGCCCTGGGAGGCTGGGCTCTGGGCAGCATATGAGCCTCCTGGTGGATGGAGTGTTGTGCCTACGCTCGTGGTCCTGCAAGCGCAGTCCACCCGCTGCCAGCCTCGGCCGGCTCCTGGCTCTCCCGCTGGATGTCGGGTGATGGGCATCCTAGCCTACCGCCCTGGCTGACTCCAGATTCAAACCATCTGCCTTCCACATCAGCTCAGTTGTTTCTCACTCAGGTCACACCCCTGTGGCGCCTATCCATGCAGCTCAGGCCACTGGCTGGATCTGTAGGATTGCCCCTCTCAGGCACCACAGCCGCCACAAGACGTCCCCCAGGCTCCGGGGGAAGGTGCGTCATCTGGGACTTGTGGAGAGCCTCTCTCCACCAGCACGAGGCTCCCCGGCTGCCTTGGAACTCTCTAAGATGACACTAGCTACTGGGACAAATAAACCCCCAAGTGCCAGTGGCTTAACACAATTCGAGTGTATTATTCCTGGTTCACATCAAGTCCTGCTCTGGAGTGGGGGTGGGTCTTTTCCATGCAGGCATTCAGGGACCCAGGCTGACTTGTTCAACAAGTGGCTTCCAAGAACACTCCGGGCATTAACATGTAACCATCAGACAAGGGAAGACACACTGAGAAGCAGCCCTTCTCAGTCCAGCTCCCTGAGGGAGCCGCACCCCTGTGGTCAGAGGCTACATTGTATCCAATGAATTGACATCCGCATTCAGAAGAGCACTAAGTGTCATTCTTGGAGGACTGAGATAACAGCCACTCTGGCAGGGCTTAATTCTCTCAGAGTAAAGCAGGTAGAGAGACTGGCAAGGGAAGTTTTTAAGGGCCCGGCTGAGAAGTGGTAAATATCATGTCTACCCACATTCATTGTCCAGAACTCAGTCACCTTGGCCAACAGAGCTGCAAGGCAGGCTGGGAAATGCAGTTCTCAGCTTGGCAGCTGCTCCATCCTCATCTCTTCACAGTAGAGGGGGAGTGTGACTCTTGGGGGAACTTAGCCATTCTGTCTAGCACACAGTAGGTACGCTGGAAAAGTGCTTATTCACGTGCAGAGTGATGCGCTTAGTTGGTGGTGGTGCAGAGAAGGCCCTTCTGCGCCGTCCCTGGGCCCCAGCAAGCGACCGTGTGTGCCTCAGGCTGGAACGCTCTTCTGGGCAAAGCAGAGGCTTTGGGAGGCAGAAGCCCCGATGCCAGTGGTGCCTCCACCGTTTACGGGCTGTATGGCTTTCGGCAACTGGATTAACATCTCTGAATGCATGTCTTTCTCTGTAAAATAGACGTGGCCATCCCTGACCTCAGAGGGAGCTCAGTGTGGGAATCGCTGTATAAATGTTCATTATTATCACACGGCCATTACCTGCTCTGGCTGGAAAGGAGGCGGCGGGGGAGAAAAAGCTGGGTCATTGGCAGTTGGCGGCCAGGAACCGTGTTAAAAGCTGCAGTCAGGAAGCGCCATGGGAAAGAGACCTTTGAGAGTGAACTCGGTCCTGCTCACACAAACATTAGCGAGGCCAAGGTCGGGGCTTGTTCCTGCTGAGTGTCCCTCTCCCCTGACCAGGGCTTGGCCTACCCAACCAAGGCTGACCTCACTATCCCGGCACAACTGGTCAAATCTCTACTCTCTGACTGGCCACAGGGGACAGCTCATCCCCCCAACAGGGAACCCATTCGTGGAAGGTGCTCTTCTCTCTGGAAGATCTGTTCTGATGGCACAGTGCCCAGGGTGTCCCAGCAGGGACCTTGGATGTCTGCCAGCCCACATAGATCAGGGCAGCAGCCCAGCCCCGGGGCGCCTCTGCCATCCCTGGAGTGGGAGGTCGTGTTCATGTCCCTCCAGAAAGCATAGCCAGCTGGCTCCCACCAGAGTGACAGGGCAGTGCTGTAGGGGCATGGTGGCCCCTAAGGGCTGTCACCCCAGAACCCTTGCTAGCTCCCAAACATGCCAGGAACCATGCAGACCCGTCTCAGAAAGAAGTTTGTCTCCAGCCACCCTGCCCCCCATCAAGAGGCCAGGAAGGTGGGCCTTCAGCCGGAGGCCAGAAAGCCTGAGTCCCTTGCTCCCTGGGTGAAGCTCTTGGAAGAGTCACCGTGCTGTGGGCACCTCCGTGTCCCACCCTGGGCGTGGAGAAGTGGGTTCGATGGCTTCTCATCCACAAACATACCCGAATGGCCGTGATCCCAAGGAGGGACCCATGCCGTCTTAAGTGTCCCATTTCGCCCCACCCTTGAAGGCTACTGGGACCATGAGCTGTTGAAGGGCGGAGCCTGCAGACGACGTCCAGGTGACAGCACTGATAACCTTTCTGTGGTGCCTGCCATTGAGCAGTGTGCGGTCCTGCGAGCGTCCCGGGATACAGTTAGCCAGCTGATCACCCAGCAGCATGAGCCAGAGAGGGAGCTTACGGCTCTCAGCCACTGAGGGGGGCGGACAGGAAGGACTGTGGCACTTGGTTAACAGGCACATGTGTTTGCAGAGTGTACCAGTCAGGGTGTTGGCCAGGCAGATGGCACATTCAGGCAGGGTCACACAGGAGAGGCTATATGAGTATTGTTTAAAGGTGCTGACAAGGGTAGGGCAGCCAACGAAGGACGTGTGCCGGTACCCAGGACTAGCAGCAGCGGGAGACACTGGCACCCTTGGCCTGGAGGGGCAAGGGGAGGAAGCAGTTAGCAGAACCCAGAGAGGTTAGCTGGCTGGAGGGGCCTGCTGAGGCCTTGGTAGAGGGACACAGCCGACCCACAGGGACACAGCAAGGGCCTTGTTTCCTCCTGCCCTCCAGTCCTGTCAGGGCCTCCCATTGGCCAAGCCCTCCTGGGAGCTGAGGAAAAGGGTGCCCAGGTGATGCAGCCTATTGGGGGCCAGCCTCCAGGGGCTCAGAGCAGGCTGGAGAAAAGTGGGTGGTGGATTTGGGGGCCACAAACGGAATAACCCAGCTCTCAAAGGGAGGAGGATGGATTCTGCCCAGGACAAATCCAGAGCTGAGTTTTTAATTAACAAGGTCACCCCAGACCTGGGTCAGGCGCGGATACTCTGGCTGTTTCAGATTGGCAACTTCACGGGCGGCCCTAGCCCACCTCCCCATACGTCACCCATGAAGCAATTGCTCCTGGAAAAAGTCAAGAAGTCCCGACGACGCTGTGTTCCTCTGTTTGTTAAGCAAGATACTCTGGCAGTGCCAGGAAGGGGGCAGGTGGCTCCCCCAAATCCCCACCCTTCAGCTGCTGCACAGCCGGGCCAGAAAACCCTTCCTGTGCCCAACGCAGCCAAATACATATTTTGCACTAAAAGTTTATGTGCGAAAAAACTCATTAATTTCGTGTCTCATTTGTCAAGAGACATTTTGATATTTGTGCTTAAAAATAACATGGCTGGATTAGCACCGCAGAGCCCGCACAGGGGACGGGGTCCCTTCTTAGCCACGTCTGTAAATCTGGCTCCTAATTAATCTGAATGCTGACCTAGTTTTCATGAACACTTTGTTGCTGATTGCTGTTTCTAGAAAGAGAGAGAGAGAGAGAGAGAGAGAGAGAGAGAGAGAGAGGGAGAGAGAAATCTTCCAGACAAACCCTTCTAACTGGGAAAGGCGCCCAGGTGAAGCCCAGATTGGCCTCAAAAGAAGACTGTTTGCAACTGAACGGCTTGTATGTTGGCAAGAGGTTCCCCTCTGCAGGGACCTGGGGATCAGATCTGTGGCGTGTGAACCTCTAATTAGCCTTGGGACCCCAGCTCCAAGGAGAGGCGCCCTGGCCCCTACAGAGAGCCAGCTGGATGTGGCAAACAGCTGCCTGGTGCCCACAGAGAACTGGCTCTCAATATTTCAATTAATAATGAGAGAAAGACAGCCACAGCCATGGGTGTGATGGCTTTAGAGAGGCTGGTACTGCTGGGAGCCATCAAGGGAGCAGCCTCGGGTGTCACCATGGCAACCGTAAACCATGCACAAAGGGGGCTGTGGACAAGGTGAAGGCACTCTGTCACCCATGCTCCTGGTGGAAATGATGCCAGTGACCCAGGAGAACACCCCGCAGTGGGGAGAGTCCCCAGCAAGGCCGGCAGGGCCAGGCGCAGTCAGTCAGCTGGTCGCCCCACTTCCTCAGACCCATGAGGACCTGAAAACCATCGCCTCAAATACACAGTCCACGCTTCCCTCAAGCTCTGATGTGACAGGAGGATCATAATTAAAGAGAAAATAAAT